TTACTACAGGACCAAGTTGGCTATAACTAAGATTCAAAGAAGTTAAAATAACATTCTTACGAAGAATCTTTAATATTGCCTTATATTCAAAATCATCTTTGATTTTATAATCAATAGAGATAATCGTGGTATTTCCATAAAAATTTTCAAATATGTTTTTGTTATAAGTCATTGCACCAAGTTTTAAAAACTTAAGTTTATGACTTGTTCGTAAAAACATTGCAATTAAAGAACATGTAATTATATTTAAAGGCTTATCATTAGTTATTTCATTATTTTCATAATGAAGTTCATAATCAATCCAATTTTTGATTCCATTATGTAAACCATCACCAATAGATATAGTATAACTTGCGTATTCAAATAATGGTTTTGAATAATTTGGAAGGGTAATTTTAAAAGGGATTAATAATGCTTGTTCTTCAGAATTTAACGTTAAAAGATATATTCTTAAAAGTCTTTCATCACTAATATAATTTGTTGGTTCACTCCATAGTATTGGTACAACTATTTTACACCATTGACGGTTTACGAGAAGGCATGAAAATAAGCTTTTATAATGAGTACTGAAATTATTAAATATATTAAAAAGCAGTTCGTTTGGTAATGGTATCATTTTTAGAAGGAATTTAAATTTTAATACAGTACAGCATACGTACGTAAGCTTATATATATAGCACTATGAAAATGTCGTGAAACGTTCCACTCAATTACGAATCCTTAGATATCGATATGTATCCAAAATACTGAATACGTAGTATCCGGCAAACTCATATGATCATACGTAAATTTACGTATTTCTGCACGCTATTTTTTTCATGTGATACGATGTAATCATGTTTATTCAAATTAAAACTCAGCCGACAATTTCCTGCCTAAATTGCCGGATAACAACATTATTGAGCAGATTTGCGAATACTGTAAAGTAATTTGACAAATGATTGGCCGCACGTGCTGCAAAGTGGTAAATTTTTGCCCAATAATGTATATCAATATACTAATAAGATAATAAGAGTTATTAATTTACTGATACGTATCTATTTACTTATTATACATTGTTTACGTTAATGGATCCATACAGTTAGTGTTACAGAAATTTGGATTCGAATTCTAATACTGTAAATCCAAACATTCGGATTGGGCCCGTATTAAGCAAATTAGGGTCCAATTTTTTATTCTCATTAAAAAGATTATACATAAAATTACGATAGGCACTGTATTCAAACTGGATTTCGGATCCAGATCAATCCAACACTACATGCAGTACAAATTTAAAGGGAATGGTATACCTATGACCAAAATATTCTTTTTTTTTTTTTTTATAAAAAGAATTCGGGTTTTTAAAAATTTTAGAAATTCAAATCCAAGACCATATATTTGGTTTCAGATTAGTAATTTCCAAAACTATTTCGATCACAGGTATAATTATTAAGCGAAGTTATTTATGTAAATGATGAAAGACGAAACTGATGCCTAAAAAAAGATAAAAGCAGAACCCCTGACGAAACGGTGAAACGGCATAATCCTGGTGAAATTGAAAATAGTAAAGTTTTAGCAAAACGGCAAAATTCTAGCATTCCAATCTCCCTAGTATATTCATATAAAAAAGTTCATGAACCTAGTATTCCCCTAAAAAAATTACGTCACTAAAATGCAGTTTCAGTAATTTTTAATGCTGTAGTCGTTTTTTTACCATTTTAATTGTTAAATGAAAATAAAATAAAATGTCTAAATATTGTAAAGTTATTGACCACTTAAGAAATCCTTAAACTTTTCTAATAAAGAGTTGTGATAAGTGCTTGCAATAAGTTCAAAACGACAATATGATAAAGAAAATAAAACAGTTCTTAGTACAAAGGAAAACAAGTGTGAGATAAATATCGATGACATAGATGATGAAACGAATTCTAGCAGCGATGACAGTAGGTTTAAATAATTTTAATTCTGTATAAACAACATAATATATCATATAGGCAATGTCTTTACTCCTAAGTCGTTTGAACTTTAGCTAAAAAAATTTGAAAGCAATCAAGCAAATGGTTAATGATTTGAAAACGCAACAAAAATAACATGGATGGTGTTGTGACCTGGGAGTGACTTTTTCACTCGTCGCCGATTTCAGCACACAAACATAATCGTGGGTACATGATATCGAAAATTAAGGGAAAGTAGTCACGTATCGTTGCTCGAGACCTTTATTTTGTTCGTCACGAGCAAGTATATTACTCTAATTTTAGTGATCGCGTGCATTTACGTACTTCTACTTTAAGGTCAAACGGAAAGGGGTTTTTTTTTTTAATTTTATTAGAGCATGGCTATATTTTATAAATTTTCCCATCCAAGGGTCTATCGAACCGAAATCCTGGTTCTCGAACTTTATCTGGGTCTCAAACCCAGATCTAATATCTGTAACCTCAATTAAGGGTCTCAAATCCAGATCTTGGGTCTCGAACCCGTGTATAATTGAATGATAAATCACATAAGAAAGAAAAAATAGCGAAACTACATGCAAGAAAAATTTAGCAAAAAGTTTTCGTAATAATGGGAAGAAACAAAATTATGTTTTATTGGGAATAACATAGTGTGGTCTTTTTTGTTAGAAGCACAAATAACGTAATGGGTAATAATCAGTTTAAAATAATATATCCAACTTGTGCCCGATTTGCCATCATTCGACTTGTGCAAGTATGGATTCTAACATAGGACTTTATTCGTAGAGAATTTAACCTTAGTTACGTAACTTTTTTAGGGTATACTAGGGAAGATAATATCTATTCTATTTCAATAAATCAGCTTATGCTAAGATTAAACACTTATAAGGATACGACTCTTCTTATTACTAATAAATAAGTTGTTATTTTTTTTTATTTAATAAACTTGATTTATAAATAAAGTAGTTTGCAATTAAAAGATTTGAAGAAATTAAAGTAATATGTTGTAAAAAGCCGCTGCAAATGTCTCCTCAGTGCCAATTTTGATTATAGTTAAGATCCAAAAAAAAAACTTAAAATTCATGCAAAGAGTCTTTGCTGATGCTTCAACAAATTGTATATGGTTGATTTAAAGAATCAGGTATAGAACCTCTGATGGTTTTACTCTCTAGGAATAAATTCCATAATAGTTAAGATTTTAACGAAGTTTTTGCATAGAGCTTCTGTTGATACTCCTTCAGATAAAATAATCATCATCAAACAAATCTAAATAAGCAAAATGGTTTCTTGCATGTAAATCTGCGCATATTCTCTCTTCTTCAGAATTAACGTCATTATAGCTAAGGTCCAAAGAAGTTAGATTAGTGTTCTTGCATAGAACATCTACTAATTTTTTCCTTCCTATAGAATCAATATTATTACAGCTAAGATTTAAAGAAGTTAGAGTAGTGTTATTGCATAAAGCCTCTGCAAATGCTTTCCCTCCTACGGAACAAATATGATTATTACAAAGATCTAAAGAAGTTAGAGTGGTATTTTTGCATAAAGCCTCTGCTAGTGCTTTTCCTCCAACAGAACTAAGTTGATTACATCTAAGATTTAAAGAAGTTAGAGTAGTGTTCTTGCATAAAGCATCCGCAAATACTTTTCCTCCTTCAGAATAAATATGATTATCATAAAGATTTAAATAAGTTAGAGTAGTATTCTTACATAAAGCCTCTGCTAATGCTTTCACACCTTCAGAAGTAATGATATTATAGATAAAATCCAAAAACGACATAAAACTAAGAAGATTATAACTAAGATCCAAATAAGTCAAAGTAGCGTTCTTGCATAAAACATCAGCTAATGCTTTTCCTCCTTCAGAATAAATATTGTTAGCACTAAGATTTAAAGAAGTCAACGTAGTGTTCTTACATAGAGCCTCTGCTAATGTTTTCACACCTTCAGTATTAATATTATTAGCACTAAGATTTAAAGAAGTCAGAGCAGTGTTCTTGCATAGTGCATCCGCTAATGCCTTTACACCTTCAGTATTAATATTATTAGCACTAAGATTTAAAGAAGTCAGAGCAGTGTTCTTGCATAGTGCATCCGCTAATGCCTTTACACCTTCAGTATTAATATAATTAGCACTAAGATTTAAAGAAGTCAGAGTAGAATTTTTGTATAGAGCATCTGCTAACGCTTTTCCTCCTGTGGACCGAATTTTATTGTGGCTAAGATTCAGGTAAGTTAAAGCAGTATTCTTGAAAAGAACTTCAGCTAATTTCTTTCCACCTTCAGAACCAAATTCATTATGACTAAGATTCAAAGAAGTCAGGGTAGTGTTCTTGCAAAGAACTTCAGCTAATTCATTCTTTACTACTGAACCAGGTTGACTGTAGCTAAGATTCAAAAAAGTCAGAATAGCATTCTTGCGAAGAATCTTTAATATTGCCTTATATTCAAGATCATCTTTAACCTTATAATCAATAGAGATAATAGTTGTGTTTTCATAAAGATTTTCAAAAATGATTTTATTATAAATCATTTCGCCAAGTTTTAAGTATTTAAGTTTATAACTTGTTCGTAAGAACATTGCAATTAAAGAACATGTAATGATGTTTAAAAGCTTATCGTTAATTGTTTCATTATTTTCATAATCAATCCAATTTTTAATTCCATTATGTAAACCATCGCCAATAGATATAGTATAGCTTGTATATTCAAATAGTGGTTTTGGAAAATTCGGAAGCTTAATTTTAAAAGGGATTAATGATGCTTGTTCTTCAGAATTTAACGTTAAAAGATATATTCTTAAAAGCCTTTCATCACTAATATAATTTGTCGACCGGGGTAAAATCGCCACCCAAAAAAGTTTCGAACATCACGTGGCAAATATATCGAGCACCAAAAATTTATGTAATTCATTTAACTTGAACAAAAAATACAAAAAAAATTATAAACTAACAAAATAATAACGATAAGCAAGTTTGTT